CTATCACAGCTTCAAACTACGTTGAAGTTTCAATTGCAAACCACCTAAGAAGCTTACAAGGCATCCGCAGACAAATTTTGGAATGAGGCACCTACTTTCAAAATTGGAGATAAAGTATGGCTACTGCGATAAAATATCAAAATCATGTGATAAGTTGGACTACTGGAGATTGGGACAATTTGTCATCCAGAAGCTAATCAATCCAATGGCGTACCGTTTGGGATTATCGACTGCTATGAAGATTCACCCAATCTTTCATGATTCTTTGTTGGAACCTTATCGAAAGTCGTCTTTTCCTAGAAGAGTGCAATGTCCGCCACCGAGTATTGAAATTGAGAACCACGAGGAATACGAGGTGGAAAAGGTACTAGATTCATGGTGTAAGTAGAGAAAATTGGAATACCTAGTACATTGGAGCGGCTATGATATCAATGAGTACACATGGAAACCAACAGAAAATCTTATCAATGCATTGCAAAAGGTATAGGAGTTTCATTGAAGCTATCCTCAAAAACCTAAGCTCTTTCGATGAAAGTTTTTCAGTGAAGTCCCTTCTCCTTGAAGCCTCTTAATCCTTGGCCTTACAAAGAAGAGAGAGAAGGAACCTCTAAAAGACATAGATAGAGATTATAAATCTCTAACCTGAGCCCATTCTTCTATGTTTAGTGATTATTTTTTTTGTCTGATATGAATAGCCAAGAGATAGATACCATACCAATCATGTCCTCTCAAATGAGTATCTCACAAAGACGACCTCGAGATGAAGAACCGCTTGTACCATGAAGACGACGAAGGATACCTAGTAACAAGTCACTAGTGATTGTGTTTGAGGTAGAACCTGCCTATGGTGATCTTCCCGAAAGAGTGTTTGTAGCGCATTTTCACAATGAAGACACGAAAGTTGATGCTTGGTCGGAAATCAAAGGCATAGGATACTATCATTGGTTACAAGGACCAATGAACTACTTGCTGCGCAAACAACAATTGGATTATATTGGAGACACTATGCAATAAATTTTTAACTTCTTACGTTGGTACTGACTCGCAATAGGAGTGCTTCTCGGAGACCTCAAAGCTAAAGGGGGGGGGTGATGTCAAGGACATACATTAGGAAGTTGTAGAAGATTCTAAAAGGTTCTAGAGAAGCTTTGTAGTTTGAAGCTGCTTGAGAAGCTTCCTAGCTTGTAGTATATATAGGAGCCGAGACTGAGGGGATCTTCAATCTCGACAACACACCTCTTGGAGCTCTAGCTCACCTCTCTAGTATTTTTCTTGTATTCATTTGATTAATCTAGTTCTTGCCAATTCTTCTTCAGCTTCTTATTTAGATTTCCAATCAGTATTCTAAATCCGTGACAATTGACCTCATCTCCCTTTGCTTCTTCAATTAGATTATTACTATTATATTTATAGTAGCATATTGGATAACTATGACTGTTATAGTTAATACAATGATCTTTGCATTGTTATGGTTGTCCATAAGAGCGTATGAAGCATTTGCACTCAGTAGTGCCTCCTCTTTCACATGTATAATAGTTTGATTCATCATAATATGCATGAATTTATCATTTAATGTTCCAAGTAACTTATTCTCCAAGTAATTTGTCTTTAAGATGCTCTAATTGCTTTATTTCTATGTCCTTTGAAACATCCTCTAATGTTGAATTTTCTAAACTATGTTGATAGTGCTTCTTTATTGATAGTTACTTCTCTTTTAATTTAAGATGGTAAGCTTTGCTAAGTAATTTAGATCCCAATGCTATAAATGTAGGCAGTTTATTCATGCTTAAGCTTTTAATAAAGTCTATATAGCTTGTGGTAATCTTGCTAATATTAATTGAATTATTGTTGAGTCCTCAACATGTTGGCTAAGTATGCTTAATTTGTTATTGAACTCCCATGCTTGCCTGATGTATTCTTCTACATTTCCATTGTCTTGCATCTTCATGTGATGAAGCCTAGTCAATAGTAGAAGAATTTAAGAGGTATCACCAAACTGAAACTAATCCTTCAAAGTTCTCTACGTATCAGTAGGTTCGTCACTTTCAAAGACTGAATCTACCAGTTCATCCCTCACAGCCATAATTAGTGTGGTTTGTGGTTTGTTTTTTAATTCCTTGAATTTTTGCTTAGTATAGATATGCCTTTCAATAGAAGTTGGTTATGACATTGGTGCCAACTTACTATCAATAAGTTCGCACATATTTTCCGTTTTCAACCAAATAGTCATTTTCAGACGCCATAAGTTGTAATTGCCACCACCCTCTAGCTTGTTTCTTTCAGACATCAAGGCACTCATCTGACCTTCTGCCATTGTTTTAATTCTATAAGTTTTGCTTGTCTATGACTAAGATGTAGGAAGCAATGCTCACCTAAACATAACAAACAATGTCATTTATGTTGAGCTTTCACTTTGACCAGGCCTATAGAGTAGAGCTCACCTGGAACAAGCAATTATATAATTTTTGACATGTATGCCTAGTGGGAGCAGGGCTCACCGAACAAGACTTGCTAGATTGTTCGCTCTGATACCATGTTGATGCAAACAACATTGTATTGAACTCATATTTTGCAATTACACATTAATCCTATTTAGCCTACATCAAAATGTTATTTTAGGTACAATAACTAAACGGCACTGATACTAGTGCCGCTCAGTTCTATATTGAGGTGGCAGGCTGACGCACTCCGTCCTGGTGATGTCATCAGTCATGAACAGTGTTTACAGCGTAGCTACAGTGCGTTATCTTCAACATTATGGCGATCAAAACTTGGACAAAGCGTACCTATATGTGTTCAATTCCAGTAACAATAGAAAGGTATGAAACACCAAGGCGATCTGAGATCATACCTCCGTGTTTTAGTTCTTGACATGTAAAAAATTCGTTGGAATGACTTGTTTTTGTTTGAAACTAAAAAGCGGATGCGCAGAAGACGTCTTTGTTGTTTGCATTTGGTGAATCACATGCCTGGACAGAAAATACCCCGAAGAGTGGACCATATATTGTCAAGGCTTGGGTAACTCGTGTGGTATCACCTTGACAAACCAGCAGCCACAGCCTGCGGGACGCTTCTCCGACGGCAAGATTCAGGCGGATTGGTTCAGTAAGTCTTCTAAGTCAGTACGGGCTCAACTCTTGGATTTCTAATGAAAAGTTCGTTGTGTGAACGTAATTGAATTATAAATAATCAGTACTCTTGCTGCGCTACACTTGAATAATTGTATGCGAATTGCGTAGATTTGTAGACCTAAATGGTGATGCTGTCGGTTTCTGAAAAATTGTCAGTTGGAATGGACATAGCTGCAAGTAGATTGCCATGAAATCTTCAGAGATTAGGTGACTTCACGATCTGATTGATATTCATCTGTCTTTAGTGTTGGGAGCAACGTTCGACCTTTGTGGCTTTGCTCTCCTATTTGTAGTGGACCTCCTCAGATTTGCTTACCCTCTCCTGTATCTTTACTCCACTGCTGGAGCCACTTTCTCGGCGATAAACTTTGCGGGCTGGAGTGCCTGGGTTACATATGCATTTGGTGAAGAGTCTTTAGTAGCACTCATCAATAATATTGCGCTATTTCTTCGTGCCGATCATTACTTCAAAACCGCTCTTGCGAACGCCTTGACACTCTTGTCTGCCGTTGGCAATGACTACTTGGCTTCCAAGTGAAATACCTCGATGGAAATGTTCATGTTCATTTAGCGGGTGGTGGGAGGAAGCAGAGCCAACTTGAAACGCCAACTCGACCTTGGTCCCTGCATTGTCATGGTCGCTAGCGTAATCCAAATTGATTTCATCCCTACTTACGCCAAGAGAAACGGGTACTCAAAGTGCACGGGCGAAACAGCAGCACGGGCAAAACAGCACAGGTTCACAACGCTTCTCTCCTCGGCGCCTCACATAGTATAAACGCGCTCAACCCGAGCCCGCGCTTTATCAACTTGGACCAGCACTCTGCATTCGACCGCTTGCTGACGGAAGCGAACGAGGATGGATTCACAGACGGATTGAAGCCATGTTGCGAAAGCACCACAAACTTCTCTTCATGCGGTGACGTTGTTTTCGAATCTCAGGAATGGCTTCACATGCTCTGCAAGAAGCAAGGCGAGGCCATCTTCTGACACGATTTCCACCCAACAAGCGCCAGCATTTGGAAGCGCTTGGTGCTCTCCAGTGGTTCAACTTGAAAGCCCCTCTAGCGCAGTACTCTATCCAAGTGCTGACTCTGCTCCTTCCCTGAATGATTCACTCTCGTCGACAGACACAAGGTCTCCGCACAAAAGGGGGTGAACGATGTATCGCTTTGTCATACTGTAAACGTCTACTTTAATTGCACTATCATTCGGGGAATGAGGCCTCCCTCTGTGGCTTCATGTACAGGGGAGGCAGTTACAATCTCCTATTTGGCAGAAAACGTTTCCGTGAGAGCCTTTTCTCACACTTCTGTAGTGGACCCGACTTGTACGAGGTGCCTGGGCTATTTGTTATTTACGGCATTGATCATGTGCTCGTGCCTTCTAGCTAGTAGGCGAGCTGTGTATTGAGGAAGGAATTTTGTTACGGCGCTGTTAGATTGAGTTCCAGGACACAATTCGTGAACATTGTTAAGGTCATGTGGAAGTAGTCGATAAAGAAGAAGAAGAAGAAGAAGAGGCACAAGCAGTTATACGTCAATTCTATTGTTCCGAGGAGAACTAGTCCTTTCCACGATCCGTGAATTGGTTGTAATGGTTGCAGAGACTAGATTCTGCTCACAAACTGACAGGCGCTATTAAAAACTTGTCTTAGCGAAGTGAAACGTATGGTACAAATTTTTTTCAGATATAAATGACATTGAGCTAATTTGATGCCCGCCGTGCACCCTGGTTCTGTATCTTCATCATTCGTCGTGTGCTCTGCCCGAGATATGTTTTCAACTTGTGTTTTGTTGTGAACAGTTGAAATATTAATTTAATACTTTCTTTTAAGAGAGTACTGTGCTAGATGCTCATTCAGCAGTATTGATCAGATCCCGCACCGATGAATCTAAACTTCAAATTGAGAGGATGTGAATTGTCATGTACTAGTACATTCCGTAAATTGCAACCTGGGCCTCCTTAGAGACAGATAAGCTACGAATTCATAAACCTAATCCAGAGAAGAAAAAACATTTTTCTGCGATAATTACAACAATGTTTAAGAAGATCTTTCACGCATATGTGTCACGAGCGTTTTCTTGCATTGCCGACTCTTGGTGATGAGCTTGGTGATGAAACGATGTTTCTAAATGCGTCAGACATATTCGCTACCACGGGCCATCAACGAACTGAATACTCAAAAAGGGCTGCGCATCCTCAGTCGTGAGTTCTCTAGACCACCCAACTCGACCAGTCGTATTGGCTCCTTTGCCTGTACACTCGTACTCTCCAAGATATACAGTCCTGCATAAACAAGGAAGTTGATTAAAGTGATGATAACGTATCAACGTCTAACTTTCGTCTGTTTATCGTCCAACTATCGTCTACCAGACATGAGCAACACTGTACAAGACACTTTTGAAAATGGTGACACAACCGTTCCTCGCAAACCAGGTAACCTGAACAGTTTCCGAATTAGTCACACATGACAATATAAGCGTCAAAATGTTGCAACCAAAATTTCTTTTGAAATGCAAGGAAGGGTGGAGCCTCACCCATCACGTTCTCGCAGACCCCAGTCATACCAACCCACCGGGATGACGTTGGCATCTATTTGGCAATAGGAGTAAACAACAGTAGAATATTGGCCCCATGCACGGCCAAGGTAAGGCCTACCGGTGCCTGTAATATTGCAACGTAGAAAAGAGAAACCAGATGGTCCCATAATACTGCCAGGGAAGTATTTGCCTTGAGCTACGAGTGCACCCCCTTCGCCGATTGCAATTGAATGCAGCCAACATCTCTGTTAGCAGCAATACACATTCAAACACCACTTTCTGCTCAACCTTCCAGTGCTCTATTTAAAGTACCGTGAACCGTCATCACAGTGTTCTCCGTGGGGAAGAAGGAAATTGACACACCAAGAAAAATACATCTCTAACTGACATATCGCACTTAGCCCTGGGTTCATTGCGCTCTACACTTGCTAATTGCAACAGACATCTTAACTGACCCTTGAATATTTTCACCAACTCTGAAAAATAGCAGAAAGTTAAAGTTCGTTAAGCGAAGAGGTATACCTCAAAAAGAGATCGGGCGATACCGAAAATAAAGTCTTCGGAGCCTTCAATATAGCATCTGAAATAGTAATGGCGACCGGAGTGATCATACAAAGTGTCTTGATGACCGTAGAAATTGCATCTATACAGAAAGGCCTTGTCACCAGAGATGCGGAATGCCGCTGCTTGCATATTCGTTTTATTTGGGGCTGGATATCCTGCTGTATTCTGCGCTTCGAATGTTATAAACAAAAATAAGTTCAAATGAGCAGAAGAATAAATTTGCAAAACTCTTTTCCAAGGTTAATTTCCTTTCAATTTCCCTTCCTCGGGCGATCTGAAAAAAGTGAAATTACAGGTCTCCAACTTCGCGCTCTCTCTCACAGCACCTCTATTGACAGCCCCAATAGATTTCGGCCCGTGTGTTAAATATGAACTACTTGAATTCGCAATCATGTAATGCCTATTAAAACAATCATCATAAAAACCACAGAATCATCGTAAAGTTGAGTGCATTATGTGATGACTCAGTACTAAGTACTAGCATCAGCAACTTCATTTAAATCTGAAAAGGCTGTTGATGGATGGAAAATTTTGTTACAGAGAAGCAGGTAGAATGGGGTTTGCGAGTCTCCTAGTGCATCTGTTTGAACACTTACCCTGAAGGAAATATCTCTGGCTATGAAGTGATCGGATTCAACGGTGACTGAAGCGCTCATTAGAGTCCCCGCAGAAGCCGCAGTGTCATGCCACGTTATAATAGTTCGAGTTCTGCCTTCACCTAGCAGGGTTAGGTACGGTTTTGTCGGGGGGATGATTACCTTCTCCCTGTTCACAATTTCACAATCATCAGAAATAAGGTTTTCAACGTCTCTCTCTCGCTCGACTCCAGTCGCAACAAACCTGAGAGGAGAAGTTAAATACTAATGCTCCATACACTATTTGAACTGGAAACTTGTTCCTAAAGTATTTATAAAAAAGAGAAATTATTGGAGAATGAATGTAGTTTAAAATCACTCACTCATAAACTCCACTTGTCACGAAGATGGTGACCCGTCTTGTGTTGAATTCCGGCACCTGATCTATAGCATCTTGGATATTGCTATACTGCGCCGTCCCGTCTAAGCTGACAACAAGAACTATACCCTCGTCATAGTACTCTGATACATTCTTGAAAATTGACCTCCCTTGTGAATAGTCACTGAACCAAGCCTGACTACGGACGCTATGCCCCGTGCGATGTTGCCCGAAGAGTGCTCTGAGATTCTGGTATCGATGTGATATGTTACTGGGAGAATTATCAAATGGCACCATGTCCGAGACGTTATAGGTTGTTACTTCTGTTTCTAACGCCGCAGAAATATTGCGGGTCGCGAATGACATCAGGAGTGTGCAGACTATTTGCACGAGAAGGAAGCTTTTCTTGGAAAATATTCTTAAATCTGCCATTGATTCAGAGTGGCAAGATAAGGAATGGTCTCAAGGAATGACCTGGGAAGGAATTTGACAGGAAGCTAAACCCGCGACTCGTTAAATGAAGAAAGGTTAAGTGAGATCAAATCAGTGTTTGGAAGCTAAAAACTCAGCCGCGCAAGAAATGAATACGTACATCTGAAAACAAGCTGAATGCTAAACCAAGGACGGACTCTCTTCAACATGTACACATGTAGAGCTAGCCACGGGGAGGTAATTGAATTTAGCTGCTAAATGGCAATCTACAGATCACTGTAACTGCTGAAGGGAAGATTCGTGGAAAAGGACCTCGTGAAAATCAACTCGACAAAAGTAGCCGATGCAACCGCCAACGAGAGTGCTGACAAAATCACTCTGCCGACTGATTGACAGACTGACCTAGAGACTTAAAATCCAAGAGCCAATCACCAAGAGGGAGTGTATGGTTCTAATTACTGTACGAAGGCACTGGAAATTAATCATAAAAGCAACTAAAATTGCTGGGACATCATGAAGCAATGACGCTCTCAACACGATTCACTGCAGCACTCGTGAAAACAAATGGAGTGAAGGAGAAATTGACGGATGTACAATTAAACCTGTTCATACTTGTTGGGATACTCCTTGCTGTCAGTCCACGTCGGAATGTGCAGTTGCAATTTGCCAGGTCAGAGGATTCTCTGCCATGTCATTTTGAGCTTCAAGAAAGGAACTGAAGCTGTGGGTCTAGAGGGTATTGCTCTAGCTTGGTTGCTGCGTTTTGTAATTAGGGTTTCTGGCCGTGAGGAGTGGAGTTAGATTTTGCTGTCTTCATTCAATCGCCAGCAAGGGGGCAGATTTTAGTGAAAACATGGCGGCGAAAGCGGGATCCGCGTCGAGGATGATTAAGTACTTGAAGCCGTACGAGCTGAAATTGCATTTCTCGAACAAGTATGTGCGTTCTATGGTAGTGCACAAGCCCACCAGTCATACAGTGGTGGCAGCGACGTCGCAGGAGAAGGATTTGAGGGAGCAGCTTCCTGCTACGGGTGATGTCGCGGCGGCTGCACAAATTGCAAGTATCTTGGCCTCGAGGTTGAAGGTGAAGGATGTTCCAGCGGTCACTTACGAGTTGAAAAAGGGGGAAAGATACCATGGGAAGATTAAAGCATTTTTGGATAGTTTACGGGAAAATGGCATTCAACTCATTTAGGGTTTCATTCGGCTTAGTGAACGTTCAGGGGTGTATTGAGTGGAACTATCTATGCGCTGCATTGTATTCGTAGAGCAAGGGTCGGGCGAGCAGGTCCTGATTCAGCAATCGGTGGTGCAGGTGATGTTGGAAATGTAGACTTGGATTCTTGTTAACAAGCCGATCGTTCCTTTTCTTTTTTCTTGTCGTCGTTTCTCTTTTGCCTCCTATCTTCTGTCTCTGTATAGTGAGTCAACTTCCAGACAGATATGGTACTCTATGTAGTGAAGTGAATGGCTTGAACCTCATTTAGAAGGCGATCGACATAGACCTATCTGTATTGAAGACATTACAACGGGTGTCTAATGTCCTGGGGTTTCGCAATTCAAACATTTTTTTTCTCTTAAAGTTGAGCAGAAGGAATAGGTTAAATGGGTGAAAAGAAAGCCATTAGATGTCCTTTCTCTATTTCAACTTTCCTGTGTCTAGCAACGTTAGAGTCGCATGGACATGCAGTGTCTGGAAGCTCACAAAAGCAGAAGTTTTCCTTGCACGGGAGAGGTTGTGGTCCAAGGAATCGAATGCTGCGTTACGGTGGAGCCTAAGAATTGATGCATGCACAGTTATTTGCCGTAATTTTGTCAGGAAGTCCACGCTAGAATGGGATACTAGGAGAGAAATGTGAAGGAAACCTCTGATTGTTGAATTGAGTGATGTTTTATGACTCTGCTAAGTTGTTTAATATGTCTCTGCACTGTGATGGCGTTGATGTCTTTATTCTATAATAACAGAATTGCATACAGAACATGGCAGAATTGTGCAGAATCTGGTCTTTGTGCAAAATTTACGTTGCATACTTGCAGTTCGATACTCCTGTAGTGCGCTTACGGTTTTGATTTTAGAGTATTTGGAATGTTATGATCTTTATGTCATTCACAGAATTCATAGCACCACCTGCTCCATGTCGCTTAAACCCAGAAAGGTTATTGAGGTCGTTATTTTAGTGAAGAACAAAAACATTGCTTCTACCAGCATGAGCAAGTATAAACAGAAATGAGATTACGTAAGAATTGTTGTACATGATATGATTACACTTGTTACGAATTTTAGTTATAATGATTCAAAAAAAGATGCAGTATTTACTGATTCAGTTTACTCGAAGAACTTAACAAACAAATGCTTACAGAATTCATATTCGTTTTTCCATATGAAGTAGCCTTATCGTTATGGTCTAAAAAGATCTTGTTTACTTATTAATAATAATTTATGACATTTATATTGTTTTTCAAAAAAGAAAAAAAAAATGGATGCATTACAAATACAAAGATTACAAAAATAATTAAAACATAAAACTTATGTGCATATGTATTTATTCATCTCCAAACAAACAATCTTGGTTCTTTTCAAAAATATTATTATTTTCTAAAGAAATTTTGAAATCTTATAGAGTGATGTGTACTTTTTAGATTTCATATTGTACTTCAAATATCTATATGCATATTTTACAATATTTGAAAAACAAATAAAATAAAATATTAAAAAACTAAAAATTTTCAAATAAACTTAAAATAAAAAATAAATTATGTATAAATATTGTTAAGAAGATTTTTATAGAAGTCATTCTTTAAAGAATTGACTATAATTTTAAATAATCTTAGTCCATATTCAAGAAATGCACCCACATTTTGTGGCAATACTATCAATGATGTTTTTATCTTCCTACTTATAGTCTTGATCTTATGCTGTTTAATCACTTTTGCAAGTATCAAATCGCTTCATCACATAATAACTTTCTCAAGTAGATAAATTATTTTTAATATTAGACTCTTATTATAAAATCATAAAAAAAAATGTGTCATATATCATAGCATTTAAGTTATAAGACAACATCATTAAATGAAAGGGCTTTGCTTTGCTAAAGCATCTACTTGTAGCCTCCACTCAATCAAGTCTGACTTCAAGTCTTACTTTTTATGATAAAGACTTGCTACTTCTTCTTTCAAATCTTGCAGCCTTGTATTTAAAGTCTTCATTTGTTTTGCAAAAGTCTTCAAATTGCCACTTAGCCAATATTTCTTTCTCATCTGATATGGCTGCACAATCTTGCCATCTTTCAATCTCCATCTTCAATAAAGTGATTTTTTTCTTTGAGTCTTTATTTGATGATGTTGCATCCTAAGCTATAGCTTTTTCCTTAGTCTTCTGTTTTGCAATCTTGGCCTTAATTACAACTTCTCCTTGTAGAGTCTTCATGTCCTCATATAGCTTAATAACAAATGACTTTTATTTCCAAGTTTTGTAAGAAGGTTGGTTTTGATTCACTTCATTGAATTGAAATGCATTAAATAAGGTTTTAAATTGCCAAAGTGCATTTCTTTTAGTTAATCATTATTTAGATTTTTTAAGATTAAATACATTGATTTCTAGTAATATGTTTTATGTCTTTTATTAATTAGAAGTTGTATCATATATTATAGTGTAGTGAAAAGTAGTGAGAAGTTGGATTAGTTAATATAGAACAAATGATCAAAGTCCTACATTAGAATGGTTTAAAAATAATAAATATATAATAATTATATGATTTATTTTTGGAAAAAATTAATTATTCTTTTAGAAAGTTATATAAATATATATATATATATATATATAAAGATATTTCTTCATGATAATTTTAATATTCTTTAAAGAATATTATAATCTATTTCTTAATAATATATTACAATATGTAAATCAATCAACTAAGCTTGTTCCTTGAAATAAAATAATCAATTAGAAGTTACTTATATATTACATTTTAATAAATCAAGTGAAATTATTAAATAAAATATTTGATAACTTATTATTATTATTATGTAGATTATAAAATAAAATAAAATAAATCAACAACATCTAAAAATATTTTTTAATATTATGTTATCATGTATTCTAATCTCTACTAATACTACCATCAAATCAATTGTATATATGTTTTATATATGCAAATTACTATCCACTCAATATTTTTATATTATAATATTTTTTATTTAACATATCATAACATATAATATTTTTAATTCTATTAATTAGCTAATTTATAATTATAAATAATTATTCTCTTATTTATAAATTGAAGATGATACCACAAACATCTTGTGACTTAACCACATTTGAATATATTACTATTTATCAATTATAATTATATTATGTTATTGGCAAAGATAAAATAGTCTATATGTGTATTATTTATTATTAAAAAAAATGACTTAAAGAGTCTAAATGTATAAGTAAGACATATAAAAAAGAGAAATAATAAGAAAGAAATAAGAAGTATGTATATTCAAGAAAAAACTAGAATAAATATTGCCAAAGACTAAAAAATTAAAGACTCTTAAAATTAGATTTGAAGTAAAAAAGGATTTGATAAGAGTTAAAAAAGCCTTACTTTTATGTCTATATATATTTTCTAACTAAGAGCTATGTGGCAACATTCTATAAGACCTCCAATATGTATCCAAATTATAAGAGATATGTCTAACTTATAAGACAAGAGTCTTATGTGTGTGCCACATGGCCAACTTGTTGATTAAGTTTTTAACTTATTAATCATTTATAAATCTATATTTAGTCAAATTTGCATCTATGAAGCTTTTGAAAAGATTTTTCATAAGATATTATATAATTTATCTACTTTTATTTACTTCTACTTAACTCCACTTATCAAGATATATACTAGTATTAGTTATGTCAGTGACATATCTTCTTCTTCTAAAGATGAATTCCACAAGAAACAATAATCACATATTGAAGAAGGCTAAGATGGGACAAATTATATTTGATACATACTTTCATCTTTGTTTTTTTTGAATAAAATTGATATGTCCTCTCAACTATTGATAGTCTCTTATACTAACGTGAAAAAACTATCCTATTATTTGATCATTCTTAAAGTCTTCATGACTTCTTTCAAATAATATATTTTATAATACCATTAAGAGTGGTTCTATTTCCAATAATATTACCAAATAAAAAAATATTCTTTCAATATGATGATAGTAAATAAATTGTATCTCACCATTTATTTGAAAAAGAACAAGTCATTCTTAAGGATTTATATCTCTATTATGTTGTCTTGAAGGTTGGATTAATCTCAATGCCTCTTCTAATAACTCAGCAAATAATAATTTTAGAGTTAAATCTATTGGTTATTGATTAATTATCTTTTTAGCACCACAAATACAAAGAAATAACATACAAGAATAGAAGACAAAATATAAACTTCATTGAATTTAATTTGCCATATAACAAAGATTTTTTAAATTCTACATCTTGATTTTGATGGATGTTGTAAATAAAAAGCATTAACCTTATCTACTACTTTTGCAAGATTCTTAGATAATTTCCATGTGCATTCACTAATATCATATTTTTACTAATGTACAAGATATTTTTATCTATTTTGGCATTAATTTGAATCTAAGACTATGTCTATGCAACAAATTCTTAATTATTATCAACTTTTATAGGAAGAAGTGGTATTTGTTTTCTTCCTAATATATTTATTTTCTTTCTTTGTTTAAAAAAAATACATCAATTTTGAAATGAATCTTGATAAATTTGGACAAGTATAATTAATGCTTAATAATATTGATTTATTCAAAAATATGAAATGGTCTAAATCTATTATAATCAATTTATTATGACAATAAATAATCTTGATATTATAAAAAAGTAATTATATTATATTACCAATAAGTAATTAAGATTATTCTTTGCAATAAACATATATATATATATATATATATATATATATTGATCTTTTATTGTTTTTGAGCTTCTTTTGATTGTGCCTTTATTATTGCATATAGCTTTGATAAACAATTTATCAAATCTTTTCTAGCAAAATTATCAATTTTTGAAAAGTCAAAAGTATCAAATTGTGGATGATAATCATAATTAATAAAAAAATAGTGATTCTTATGTAGAAGAATATATTATATTATTATAGATAAATTTTGCTAATAACAAAAGAATTGTCTAACCATCTTGATGGTAGTTAGTGGTGCATCTCAAGTATTGCTCTATTACTTGATTTACTTGTTTTATATATCCATCAATTTAAAAATAACAAACCAAAGATAATTTTATGTCCATCTTTAATATTTTGAAAATAGTTCTCTAAAACATTGATACAAATCATATTATTATAATTAATATAATATTTTATAGCAATCAATGATAGCAATCTATATAATAAAAAATTAATTGATTAATTTTTTACTTATGAAAGATTGGATATATGATAAAAAAATATTTCATTTCAGCAAAATGATCTATAGAATAGTAAAAACTTGAAACAAAAGATCCATGATAAAATCCATAGAAATAAAAGACTATAGTTGTATTAGTATAATTAGTAGTGAAAAAAAGTT